TATTCTTTGAGAGTTGGAATATGCTTCCACCTGGTGACAGTAAACTTAATAACATAGTCCATTAGTAATACATCAGTTGCTGGGAGAGGTGAAACAAATGTCTTTAGTAACTGAACAGTTTAACTGAAGATGTGAGAGGTAAATGTTTGAGAGAACATTTACTGTAAAAAATGGAAAGTGATATATATATATATATATATATATATCTACAACATAAATGAGAAATTTTTCAGTAACACATTTTGGAAAATAAGAAAATAAAACTTACGTAAAAGCACTTACAAATGCAAGGGAATGAGAATGTACCACTAAATACTTAATATAATATAAAAATGTTTAGCAGCATAATACTTACTACAAGCTGTAAAATGTTTAGTAACCACACACTTGTTGGAATACTAAAAAAGATTTATTAATCCACCATATAAACACAATAATATTTAGTCAGTTGTGAGCACACAACACTTACTAACATAGGTGGCATAAGAAATTACATCTATAGAGCAGAGCACTTACTAGAGCAGGAGACAGTAGTAAGTGTATTTATTCACCCATACATTAACATAAACAGAACTAGACAGTTATGAGAAAAGCTTATGAACTAAACATTCATTGAAAAAGGAGAGAAATTTTAAATAATTTACTTTATATGGTTTGGAAGTCAATTTTATAACAGAACATTTAATGTAACAACACTTACTAAAGGATAGACCAAAACTATTTTAATGCCATAATACCTACTGGGACAGGTGACCCTTCCTTCTCCAATCTCCATCCTTGATCAGGAAAAATTACCCTCCAGAAATTACTCGGGGTGCCACCCTTACATAAAATAACTTCCTGATTTCTTGATTTGTTCATCACTTGGAAAAATGACCTATCACTATAAAGATTTAGCTACTCACACACAAAAAAAAGAAACAATAAAGGTTATAAGTATTGGATTTATATTTACAGAGGTATCTAAAAGCAATAATGTATGACAACAGAAGACGGAACAATGAAAAAAGATATGTTGTAAAGTAGAAATTATAGCTTTATATTTACTGAGACAAAACATACATTTATATGTTGTAAACTGAAAATATGACAATATTACAGAGGCTTGTAGACAACTAAATGAAATAAACTTATTATAGAAAAAAAACATCTTGATATGTACAATAAGATAGAAAAGAATAATAAATGCTTCACATTGAAATCTACACAGACAAGAAAGTAGTAGGCAAGTGAATAACTTCAAAAACAACTTTCTAAAGCAGTTTCTACATTTTATTCACTATTCAAGAACTCAACAGGGCCAGATGCTCAGTAATTATGCATTTTTGTTACCTTTTCAAACATTATTTCAGTGAGTTCTTTCATGAACATAGTTCTTCAATAAGACTGGTTTGGTGCAGTGGAAAAAGTTTCAAAAATCTATGCACCATGGCCATTTCCTCTTTATTCACTAACATTCCAAACGTAATCTCTTCAATCAATCAAGGACCTGGCTAGACTTGCTCTTATTCAAAATAGTTCTAAATCTACAAACATAAACTACACCAAGCTATTGAGAACTAACAGAGATGATGTGGTTCTACACCAGAATAGTATTAAGAAGAAGAAGTATATTACTGTTGAAACAAAACTTCTGGTTTTGTACCGGTGACAAAGAACAGTATATCTTAAACGAGCTGTTATGGTTTTATATATCTCCCATAATAATAAATATGTATCAAAATGTTTAAATTAGATCTTGTTCAATTCCTATTAAATAAAATATATATAAATTGAAATTCTGATTTTAAACACACTGAAGTAAATAGTTTGAGTGTTTAATAAATATTAGCATGTTGCAGAATTTAGCTATTTATTTTTCTTGAAAAAATAGAACATATAATCAATTTAAAAATACTTACACTGCCAATGTGTTGAACTGTCTGAAGTATAACAGATTCACCATAAGTTATAGGAAGTTCCTGTGATAAACTCTTATTTAACCTGGAATGGTAAATAATGTTATGTTTTATAGTTATAATCAGCACACACTACTCTTTTGGTATTTAATAGCAGGTTAATGTAAATTTTGTTTGTTCGTTATAATTCCCACTTGGTGAATTAATATATATTGTTTATTTACTTAAAGCTGTTCCAAAAATAACTGTTTTGTCCTCTTTTCTAAATCATCACACAGCTATTTATTTTTTAACTTATCACATATTCTATACATGTGCAGGTTTCACATAGCACATGTTCAAGAAAGCTGTAAAGTTTTTTTTTATTCCAGCAGCCTTTGCTCTTTTGTTCGTCTTCAGGGGGTGATTGCTGTAATACTACACATTATGAAAGGATATCAGCAGTCCAGTCTTGTTATTCTAATTCAACATCATGACTCAGCTATTTAAATATTTAGCATTTCTTCATGATCAGTATCTTGACCAAATCTCCTATTATTAAGCAGAGCTATTCCATTGCTTGAAAGATAACAACTCAGTTTTATTTGAATATACCAAAGAGTGGATAGGAAGGACAAAACTTTGTTCCTGTGACAGTAGGATATCATATTGCAAAGTTTGCTATATCTGCTGAGGTGTGTGAAGTCTTTTACTACTACTACTCTTGTGTGATATAAGTTTTAGTTCTTCATGCTCTACCCATATACTGCTACTACAGCACTAGGAAACTAGAAATTACTGACATGGAATGGATCAACAAACAACTAGTACCAAAACGTGTGGTGGTGAGACAAACTCTCTCAGAGATGGTTGGGTCTTGGTATATACCTGCCAGAGTAAAAGGGCAAGAGATAAAGATCCTGGTTGATACAGGAGTGCTCAAAACACTGGTAGATTTCATGATATGTCAGGCACTCTGAGCAAAACCACCACTCAGACCAGAGTATAAAAACTTTATTATTGAAAATGTAGATAAACTACATGTGAATGGAGAGTTCATGTGCTCAGACTATAACTAGGAGGTTTTTTGGTTTAACATCACATTATCAACAGTTTATAGCCATCTTCTCCAATATTGCCATTATTGGCTCTTACTAAGACAGAGATGCATTTTATATGTGGTGAGGAATGTGAGCAAGTATTCTCCAATATTGCCATTATTGGTTCTTACTAAGGCAGAGATGCACTTTATATGTGGTGAGGAATGTGAGCAAGTATTCTGAAGTGTGCTTTACTTGAAGCAACAGTGTTGACATATTCAAGATGTGATTGTGAATTTCAGCTAGACATCAATGTCAGTGACAACAGAATCAAAAGAACAGCTAATTATCTAGTGTTAACTACTTCCAGTTCTTATATCACACAAACACAGGAACCCTTTGCTTAAAGTTTAAGCATATCAATTAGATCAACAGTAATTCCATGATGCCTTCTTATACTTATTGACTATCTATCTCATTTTAAGTGCACAAATCATACCAAATAATTACTGCTTATACAGATGAGAGTATACTGGTGTGATTTTGGTGTTTCTGGATTTTTGAAAGCATTTGACAACATGCCACATAAAAGACTTGTTCAAAAAATCATCTTGTAGGTGTGAGGATAGATTGGCTACTTGGATAGAAAAGTGGCTAGATGGAAGAGGGCACAGGATTGTTATAAATAGAGTTTCAGTCAAGCTAGATTAATGTCACAATTGAGGTGGACCAGGGATCAGTGATAGGGCCTTTGCTCTTTTTGATTTACATCAATGACACAGATGTAGGAATGATGAATAAATTACTTAAACTTGCTGATAATATTAAGGTTTTGGGTGTTGCTGGTTGTGAGGAGGATGCTGCTTGTTAGATAAACATAACTGTTTAAGTTTAATGCAAGTGTTATGATTAAGATAGTTTAAGTATAGAGCAAGTGTTATGATTTAGATAGTTTAAGTACAGAGCAAGTGTTAAATTTAGTTATTTTTAAAAGTGTGTTTATTGCAGGTTTGTTTACGTAACTGTTTTCGTATCATACATTATGTAATTCAATTGTTGTGAATTAACAATTGCTGTATTATTGCATCATGTTACTAGAACTTTCTGAGCTTTTCTCATTGTTCTAATTAAGTATTTTATTAAATATTATTACATTAGAATGTGAAATGTTCTAGGCCTCTGTCGGGCTATAAATACATGACCAAAATATAGCTCAATAGTTAGTTAGATTGATCTAGACTACATGATTGTGAATTTTAGCCACAAAAAGCATATAGTGGCATTTTCTAAAGTGAATTACCACAGACTGTATTGCAATAACAGAGTATAGAAGAAATAATTTGTCTTGTCAATTTGCTCTAATGTAATTGAACCAGCTCTTTGGACTTTGATGTAAAAGAGAATTATTTAAATCTCTGGATACAACTGTTATAATCAACAGTGTAACAAACATTTGTATGTACACTTGTTTTAATATATTAATTTAAAACAAGTGAACTGTGTTGAAATTTATTCCCAACAAGTCACAAATAGCTACTATGAAGAATCCCGGCCCATACATAAAACCTGACACTGCTGCTTTACTGCGTGAATAAATGGCAGATGGCAAATGCAAGGTAATGCATAATTTGAATTATGAGTATAATTTTGATGGGAATAACCCTAACAGTGCTATGAAAGAAAGTATTGTTACGTCTCCGTTTGTTAATTAACTTTCCGTAACTTCGTTCCGACGAAACTTTAGCGACACAAGTCCTTACTTAATAAAACTGGTTTATTCTTTCTGAATATAACTTTACAATACACTTGATTTCAACATTCGTGCTAAAACAAACGCTATAACGATCTTCAACAATACTCTCTGACTGCAGATCAATTACTCACTACCTACACACATTATACACTGTTTTTGTCACGTTGTGAGCGTCTTATATATATACCAGACTAACACTATATCTAGTAATCTCCCGACAATTCACGAAGGTTCGAGAGAACGAGTGGCATGACACTAGTCACGTGACCTCGCTGACACAACAGTATTTTGATGTTTTAGTTGAACAATCTCTTAAGCCATTCAATTAGTGGGCTGTTACTAGTGGCAGAGCAAATAGGATTTCAGTTTGTATCCTCAGAAATATTGAATATAAGTCTTAAAATGTTATAGTTTCATTGTATAGGTTGCTTCTTAGGTCACATTTAGAATATTGTGTTCAGTCTTGGGCTCCTTACCTTAAGAAGGATACTGAATTGTTGGAAAGGGTTCAGAGGAGAGCTACTAGGATGATACCTGGGATGGAAACGTAGGTTAGGTGTAGGTCTCTGAAGTTGTTTTCTCTGGAAAAAAGAAGAGTTGGAGGGGGATCTGATTGAGATATTTAAGATTGTTAAAGGAATTGATGGTGTTGATGCATCATCTTTTTTTGTATTTAATAGTGAGAATGGTAGGGAGGACACAAATATAAATGTTGGTAGGATAGGGGTCATCTTCAGCTATTACAGTTTTATTTTTCTAACAGGGTTACTGGCCTTTGGAATAGGTAGCCTTCAGGTGTGGTTGGATGCAGTAAGTTTAGGAGAGCTTATGGGAAGGCATGATAAATATTTGTATTGTTATGACAGCGGAAGTCACATGGAGCTGCTAGCGTGCGTGAAGTTTTGCGAATTATCTGGGAAGACCGAGTTTGTTCGAGATGTCATCTTTTTTAATATATAAGCCTGGCAGAGAAAGCCAATGGAAAATAATAAAGTGTGTGTTTTGTACTTGTCAAGAGCGAAGTAATCAAAATTGTGAATTGCTGTGATTAATAGCATGTATTATAAAAGTTGTTAAGTTTAAAGTGATGAGAAACGTACTGACTGTGGAATTACTGTGCACTAAGAGTTTGTGTTGAGAAAGAATAAACTGGTTTAATCAAGAAAGGACTTTTATCACTGAAATTCCTTGGAAAGAATTTCTACCAGAAATTAACAAACAAGCAGATACATAACAGTATGATAAAGATTACTTTGAATGTTTTATTTTTAGTTTAAAGTTTATTTTAGTAGATTTGACAGCCTAGATGGACTTTAACTTTTATGATAACATTAATGGTACTACAAATTTTTAAACTTTCTAATCCTAGCACTATACCATCAGAGGGCAGTGTACAACAAATGGTAATATCAGAAAGTGAGTAGTAAACTGTAAGAATTTGAGTCTTGTAACTTTAATTTTTAGGCCCTTTAATTTAATAAAATTAACCATTTTCTTTATTCCCCACATTTTAAAGTTACTCCTTTGGTTTTACTATCAAAGTGTAAAGCAACCAATCAAAAAATGTATTAGCAATTATATTAATACATTTCAAGCAACAAAATCAACATAAAGGTTAAGCTTTAAGATTATTTATCAATACAGTGTGTTTCTCTTACAACTATAAAAAATGTAAACAAATTTTAAAATACTATTTTATGTATTTTTAAATGAATCAACAGACAGATGCAAGATATGAATTTTTATAATTAAATATGTATTGTGAGATTAAACAACAATCTATTTTTTCAGTGGCATAAGTAAGAATGATGAAAATTTTTTATGAATGTGAGTTAATAATTATTGTATGTTTTTCTTTTCTTTTCACATGATAATTATGCTTAATGGCACTAATAAGTATCACACTCCTTTGATATATATATATACAATTTGTTATATCAGCATTTTTCTAAAAGTTCAAGTAAAATTATGAGCTTTTACAATGAAATTCTATATTCTCTGTTATATAATTTGTTATTACTTACAATGCATTAAATAACCAAAAATTACCAAGTTTAATAAAATTACAGTCATAATTAATTCTGTTATCAGAAAACAAAATTTAGTCTCTTGCAATTTATATCAAGTGTTTCCTATACTAGCTTCTACAGATCATATTTGCTGCTGGTGAAAGAAGGTTAACATACATGAATGGCAGGTGAAAAGTGTGAAAGATTAAAAACACACAATAATGGTAAAAGTTAGCATCCAAAAACTGATTTATCGGCTATTAAATAGAAGTTCACTCTCACTGTTAATCTTTCCACCATTATAGAGAAGTTACACATGACAATGTACCATGAACATTTCTTTTCAACTGAAGTATATTTACCTGAACACTATGAATGAATTCCTAGTACATGGTTGGTTGTAAGATGAAGCAGACACAGCACAAGAAGGTAGGAAGGTGTTTATGTCATTTGTATTAGGTTCTGGTGGTGATGGAGTTGCTGCTAAAACCAAGGTGCTGTCGAAAGATGATTGCAATTGGACAATATTTCCATCATATAAATATCCATCACATTGTATACTGAGACTGACCTAATCGAGTAAAGATTGAGAAACATGCTGTAAACTTCTAAAGTTTTTGAATTACCATGATGTTAATTAATTGAATTACTGAATGTTAAGTCACTGTTGTCTTGATTTTTGTAGTAAGCAATTTTCATAGTTAACTTTAAATGTCTTTATGCTGTTTCTCTAATAATAAATCCCTAAGATGTTTAAAACTTTTTTTTTCACTTCAGAGAAAGGCTAATAGCTGAGTAAAATACACAACCTGAAATGAAAGACAAGACAGATAATGGCTTAAAAGTGAAAGATCCAAACACTGAAGACCAATCTGACATAAGTTACAATTTATTTTCAGCCATATTCTCTTCCTTTCTGATCAATAAAAGCAATAATACCTTGATAACTGGTTTATAGTGGTTTATCTCTTTTTTATAAAGTTCTGATAATCATTCTTTAAAAATGATTTTATTTATACAAATCTAACACCAAGATTGGATAGGTACAGCAAGCTAGAATTGTATAATACAATTAGACATTTATGTGTAGAAAATAACATTTAAAAATGTAATATCACTATGAATTTCATACAGTGCTTTAACTCAATGCATATGACTACTGTTATAAAGAGTTCATTCAGAATGCTATAGATAATAATACTCACAGGTGACAGGGCTGTCTCTAACAGCTTATCAGTTTTTTGACTTAGGAGCTCCCCTCTATTTTTCTTATGAAAAAATTCACTCTTCTTTTCCTAAATTATAAAATTTTGTAACTTAGAATTATAATGAATTTCCAACAGGTACATATCTCTGAAACATAAAAAGCTTATTTTTTGTTGACTTGCTCTTAAACTATTAATGAAACAAACATGTGACTAAACTTCCGAATGTCCTTGACACAATGCATAGTATACATCAACTCACCCATGTATATATGAGCTCTGCTTCCCACTATAATTGAGATTTTGTTGTTGCAGTCATACCCATACTGAAATTGAAGAGAGAATTGAAAAATCATGAGTTTCACTGGATCACCAAAATTTATGTTCTTAAGCAAGATGGTAACAACTGAGAATGAGATTCACACCAGCCAAGTTACAAAATTAGCATAGTCAGAGAGCACCAAGGTTGCAATGAAAAGACCCAGGCAGGTGTGAGGATAGACTTGACTACTTTAGAGCAGTGTAATGGGAACAATGAATAGGTTAAGCAAATAAATTAGTAAGTTATTTCCTCTGTTTAATATCATAGGGCATCACCATCTTATGAAGAACAAAAGGCTGATGATGAGTCAAAGAAGATCAAGTGGAAAATTACCCATAACCAATGTGAGGGTGAAGAACTTCAGAAGTAATTTGAGTAGTTTAAGATGACCCTTTCACAAGGCCACCAGGATGACGGATGCAAGGAATATGAAGGCTATTAATATTTTGTTGATTTCTAAAGCAATCACAACCAGATCATCAGGTGAAGAAGAAATAAATAAATATTCAAATTCTGAATGATCTAACATAACACTAGCATTTTCAGGTGTAATAAAAATTGGTTCAAGCTTCTTCAGGATTAGGGCTAGCAGACACATCCTGCTCTGTAGACATGGAATATGAATAGACCTGGGCAAAAGATCAATCGTGTTTAAAATCATGAGAAAATGGTGGGTGTTCTGCAACATGACCATCCATATGATCATGAAACTTACCAGTGAAACAAGAAAACAATTTAGCATTAACAACTCCAAAATGTTGATCAATAATGGCTGACAACACTACCATGGGATCACCTTGCAAGTTACAGGCAGAATGCATGAGTAAGTCCTCCAAAGAAGTTGTGGAAGTTCCATTATTGTGGAAAGTATTTGCATCAGAATTAATATTGACTTCAAATATCATTATAACAAAGTTAACAGCAGGACTACATATGAAGAACTCTGAATTACAGTGGAAAAGCAGGGCTTATGTACATTCTCTAGACAAAAACATAATAAATCATATGGAAGGTGAAAAACTATGGGTAAGTTTATGCATGCTATGCATAGTGTCAAGAACATTCAGAATTTTAATTGCATGTTTGTTGACAGTAAGAGAGCTTTTCAACAAGAAAAGGCTTTTTGTACTTCATAGGTAAGTAGATATATGGACCTGCTTTGAATGAATTATATTACTATTAAAATAAGATGATTGAAAAGCTCAGTCTCAAAGCAAGCATTCTATAGAAAATAATTAAAGTAAAATAGCTAACATAAAAGTAACACTGAACAGAAAACAGTAAACGTTTAAAAAAGTCTAGGATTATGAATTACAGAGCACATAAAATATGAAAATTTCAACCACAGCAACATGTTAAATTCTAATCACTTTCAAAAATCACCTGCAAGATCTACAAGGTAATTTATAACATGTTATATTTGTGTTGGTCAGGGGAAGGATTACATTATATTGCTACCTTTATTTCACTACTGATAATGATTTTCAAGCTGTAACTCTAGAGAGAGGTTCAACAGAAGAATTTCCTAGGAAATATTTTCTCATCACAACATCTGCCTTTATCAGATATTCAAGTTTTGTGTGAGATATTGGAAATGCCAAGTACCCTAATATCCACATGACAGTTTCATCTAATAATACAAGTAGTATCACTATTAACTTCTTTATTAAAACATTTCTGTTCAGGAGATACATTTTAGTAATTATCTTTTAGTTGTCTGTTTACTTCTTATTAAGCACAAACCTGCACATTAGACTATCTGTCCTGTGAACACCACTGGTATTCAAACCCAGTTTTTAAAGTTTTAAGCCTTCAGACTTATTACTGATTCCCTGGGAGGCTCCATTGTCTGTCATTAAAATTCTATTTAATTGTGTTGATTTCGTTCAGAATAAGGTTTACTTATTATGCTTAGTCAGTTTCATTCTGAGCAACTGTGTCTTCCCCAACTGGTTACAAAGAGAGAATGGTAGTTTTAAATATGAGATATTGTGAACTTTGAGCATACACACTTACTCATAATTTGAAATTAAATATCTAATGTAATTTCAAATATGAGGCCTTTTAATAGAAGTTATATCTGATAGATATTCTACTTCTGCAGAGAATTCTGGAACAGATCTATTCTACCGGTTCCAGGCTGTAGCTTGTACTCTTTTGTTAATTGCCATCCTACATGTGCCCAAGTTTAACAATTTTTAACAAGACTGTGACAATTAATTTTGTGAAAACCTTTTAAGTACTACTAATAATTCACTTAAAAATTGTCTTTTATTATGCTTTATTAGCTGTCTCATTTGATTAACATTCATAGACAAAGATCCTTTTCCCCTGCTAATTTTGAATGTATCCATTTTCAAATGTAATTCATTATAGGGTTTATTCACTACAGAAATTGGTCAACAATTTCACAAGTATTATTAAAACAAGTTTAATAAAATATTTGCTACAATGGTTAACTTTTTGCTCATTAAGCTTAAAGATAACTTTTTCATCAAATGCAAGTGCAAGGGTTGAGTTTGTAAATACAATGCTATTTAATGAAAGGGTGTGTCTGTGTGATTGCCATAGCTCCAAGAGGAAAGAACCTAGAAACCTGAAAATTTTGCACCAATACTAAGTGGACCATGAGGATGTGCACCTGGGTATTATTACTTATCCATGTGCATGCACATCTTTTTTTCAGGCAAGCTAGCAAAAAACGCATAGAAAAGAAGTGTAACCATCATAGAGAAAATAATCTACAAACCTGAAATTCTGTATCCATGCTAAGTGGACCCTGAGGGTGTGCACCTGGGTATTATTACTTATCTTATCCATGTATGTGTGTCTTTTTAATGATGCAAGCTAGCAAGAAACCACATAGAAAAGAAGTGGTTCCTTATATTACAAATAGAAAGCACAGACAGACACACATTTGTGTGCATCTTTTTAATGGGTAAAGCAAGTGAAAAACCACATAGAAAAGAAGTGGTTACTTATATAACAACTTCTAATATATAGAAAACCCAGAACGTTTTGGTAATAATGATTCCAACAATGGCTTTTATGTCATGTTTCTTAGCAACAATAGTATAACCCTAATACTGTTGTTAGTCTATATACTGAAAGTATAAAATGAAATGTATCAACTACAAAATTTAAAAAATATTTGTTGACTTCTTAATTTAAAGTCTCCCTTGATTAAAGAGGTTTGTTTTTATTATCAATATTTTTACTTTTATGAAAAAGTTTATGGTCGAGGCTCTAGGCTAGGTTACCTCACACTTTAGGCTTATTTATTAATTTCTTTAGTTCATAACAACATCCACTACACTTACAAGGTTTCACATCAAACCCCTTGCACCCCATCACTAAATTTGTAATGGGCAGACATTAATCAAACCGTAAAAATTTGTAATAGATTCTGATAAAATGCAATAGAAATTTGTGATATCAAATATAAATGTGAAATATTCAATGCAATGATAAAATTCATTGATAATAAATAATTCTTAATCTACTGTACTTTCTTTGTAACTTTTTATGTTTCTAGGAAATAAAAATGTTTAAAATATTTTTGACTGTTCTTCTATGTTAAAATAGGTTCAGAATATACACAATGATATAGCCATTTAGAATAAATCAACCTAATAACCTGAGTGAAGCTGGATACTTTTGCTAGTTTCTGAATAAGCATAGGCATCTACCATATCCATATAGATAGATATACAAAGCCTACCAATACGTACACATCTACTTCATAAAGTGTTGGATACACAAGACTGTTCAGTTTAAGTTATTATTTAGTGATTTAATATTTAATGATTATTTAGTTTTCACAACACAAATGTTGAAAGTTAATTATTTTAAAAGTGATAGTTATGACAAGCTTTGTTATGTAACTTTGTAAGTCTTATGTTGTGCATGTAGTTTAATTGTTGTACTAGGCTTTTCTAATATTGTTGACATCATCTTACATGAAGCTTCTAAGTGTTTCTTGTGATGTGTGTCATATTGATTTTACTAGAGGGCTAGATATTTCTAGATTTTTATGCAGTGTGTTATAAATATGTGCTGCTACAGAAAGTGAGTTAGTGAAAGTTAGTAAAAGTGAAGTTAGACTGTGTGATTGTCAGTTTAGCCACAATGGCTCATTTCTAAAGTGAGTTTCACAGCTTGTATTGTAATAACAGAGATAAAAGAGAATAAGTTGTTTTGTCAAAGAGGCTTTTGGCAAAATGGACATTTGGCAAAAGAAAGAGACAATTAGTTATAGCTCTGGGTACAACTGTGGTGATTAACTATAAAAAAAATATTTGTATACAAGTTTGACTTGTTTATATATATATTATTTTAAAACAAGTAGATTGTGTTCTGTTTGTTTATTGTTCAAATTTATCGTTAATAAGTGACAGACACCTACTGTAAAGAATCTGGCCCCATAAAACTGACATAAAGAATGCTATTTTATTAAATAAACAAGCAACTAAGGAAACAAAATTACAGTTAGTATTTAGTGGATCTACTATTTGGAATATTTAAGGCAGAAATATGGTTATCCATCATATTTGCAAGATCTGAAATCTGGACATTTTGGAATTGCATTCCACTCCTGGAGAAAAGCTTGGATGAGTGTCCTAGATGTTGGTTGTTATGGATGTTTTCATAGGGAACAGTCAAGAATGGACCACACCATCATTATGTGGCTTAAGCTAAATGAGTACAGGTCCCATTTTGTTTGAAAACATTGTCTTGTCTGCTAAGCTTGTTATTGGCATAAACAGGT